CTCTAAATCTTACTTTACATCAAATTTTGTGTTAAGGTTCATTTTTTCATCAACTCTTTATTTTATACGTATAATAATTTGTATATATGTAAATCATATCTTTCAAAATGTAAAAATATTAAACCCGTGTTGTGAATACAAATTTTCTACAAGTGTTATATTTATGATGTTATTTTTGAGAAACAAAATTGTATTCTATGAAACGTTAAGATCTTTTTTTAAGTAATATTATATTTGATGATCCGTGTGCCAAAAGTATGCATTTCAAAGCACCCCAAACGTTTTTCTACAACAGTTAAAAAAATATGTTCATATGTTTTATTTGAACCTATTTTTAACTTAAAGCTTTGCGATATTTATGAAATTTTCAATCGTTTTTATCTTTTCCAATAAATTAAAACACCAACATTTTGTAGTTGGTCAATTTGTGTTGTTTGCAATTATATTCAGCCAAATCCAATTTCTAATAATTTTACAGGTAATACTTTGGAACGCCGTTTTAGTAAAAATGCCAGAAATTTAAAGAATGTTATAAATTTGTATTTAAATATTTTACAACTCACAATTTGTTGAAATGTTCGAATATGATTTAACAATTTTTTAATATGTTTTATGAATGTTGTATAAATTGTTTTTTGATAATTTCATGCCTTTTTACTAAAACGGCATTCCATAGTCATACAGTCAAATCCGACACAAGTTACAAGGTGAAGAAATAGTCCCGATTGCCTTCAATCTCGTACTTGAAATCTACTTGTATCCTATAGCACAGATTAATTTCTGTGCCTATAGCTATAATTATGGGACCTACCCTTATTACATAATCGAATTTATATTCGCTGCAATTGTATTTGTATTATGTTGCATACTCTTCACAAACAAAGACTGATTGAAAATTCTGCGTGAGAATATGTCTTTTCCAGCAAAGAGTGTAGTACCTATGAGCTTTGTTTCCAGTTACGTAGACAACACACATTACTTAGTTCAAATAATAGAATGTAAAGTTTACTGCTTGAAAGAATAGAACAAATCTGTAATGAATTAATCAAATGGTAAAAGGAATTCTACAGAAAATGAATTGGGGACATATAGGTATTTTTAAGTCAATCAATAATGTAGTTCGTTCCTGTTCTCAATGGGATGGCGCTATGCGGAGGTGACACGCTAGTTCTAAAGATGTCGCTACTAATTTTAATCTCAAGAATGTTATGAATTCCACATTCGACTCCAATATATATTATAGATCTTTGAATTTTTTTAATATTCACCTGACCAAAGAATAATAACACTAAATCATTTCTTTGGGCATAAGTTAAGCGTTAATAGTTAAACAATATCACCAAAGGCTTTGAATATACCTAAGGTGGAAAGGTCGTAGGTCGCTAATCAAATTATTTCAGCACTGCAGAAGTTGAAAACTTTAGCAAGAAAAAGCATCTTCATACTTTGATTTACGGGCATTCAGTAATGATTTCCTAGCAATTTCAAAATGTTCTTAGGGAAACGTCTAGAATCGCAAGGTCGAAACAAAAACAATTTTCTTTTTTTAATTTTCTCTCAGCTTACTTCTGCTAACAGACATGAAATGATTCGAAATACAATTGGTTCGCTAATGCTCCTTTTTTTACCTCGAAAATAAAGATTCTTTTCGGGACAATGTCGGTGTATCAAAGGGGCTCATACTGAAAGAGACTGGCCAGGCGCGAAATAACTCTATATAACATTGTGGGTTCTTTGTATTGTTCGCCTGTTTTCAAGAATGATACGAATGCCACCTTGATTGCTCTCGTTTGGACGTACAAGGATGTTACCTATTCGTTAAGCTTAACAAAGAAATGTCAAAATAAAAATTAAAGGACACAAAATTACCGCGATCAAAGGAATTCATGGGAATATAAGGCAACCTTAACGAATAGTTTACATTCCGCCTGACTATATAAGCAAAAAATAATTACAAGAGTTAAATTTTCGTGTCAACCGCTAGATTCGCGTACAATGGACCGAGAAAATAGAGCGAAAAGTGCACGTTTATTCTAGGAGGTAAAAACTTTTGACATAAATTTAAAAGACATTTATATATACTTACACAGTTTCCAGCTAAGGTGTAGAATTATATCGACAACGCCATTAAACGGGCTGTATATATGGGTAGGGACATTATTTATACATAACTATTTCCTCTAGTTTTTTTATTAAACAACCCCTACAAAGATATGGGCACGCCGTTCGTTTTTTAGGGATCTCATTATGAGAGGGATTAATACTTAATATTTGCATGATTTCAATTATTTACTAACCTTACAAAGGAAAACGTCAGCTTGTCCGAATTAAATTCCCGTAAAATGAAGAGAATTCTTGTTATATTTTCAGTCATTCGTGAGAAAAATTATACAGTAAGAAATTACATTTGGTATAATTAGTTTATAAATAAATTAAAGCTTTCCCATTATACAAACAGTTAGCTCCGTCGACCGATAAATAAATTATGGGCTGCGTAAACAATTACCTCAATTATCTTCTTGTAATACAACCGTAATAATACGACTTGGGTACGCAAAAAATAATTGTGTTATTAAAGGTAAATTGGATTAGGGAGGATAATGTAATGGAACAAGTTCATATTGACTAAGTTAACAATATGATGGGGATGATATAAGTGTTTGTGTTATTTACTTATTTTATTGAAAAAACAAATATCCATTTTGTGTTTGTACAGTCTGTACCAACATATAGGACGAAAATAGTTACTCTTATTAATCATGTCCCATGTCCCATGAAATTTCCTTACTAAGCAATATTGTTTTTCCATAATCCTGCATTCTATATATTTATTAACTGAATAAATATTCGATTTTGCTATCCCAAGTAATGATGTGGGGGGGAGGGGGGGCGTTTGTTTTGAAATTTTTAATGTTTTACTTTACTTTGATTAAAAGAATTCAACTGCAATAGTATATTAACATAACCCCACTTTTGTTGACTACCTACCTTTAATGTGAAATTGTCAGCGTACAATTTGAAAAGGGTTCTGACAGAATGTTAAAACGCTACCCAGAGAAGATTCTGCGAAAATGGAGATGGTCCTAATGGCCCTAATAAGATTCCACTAAGACTCCAGAAAATTTAAGGGGGATTCTAAGAAAATTGTTGGAAGGTTCCAAAAGGATTTTTTCTAAGGAAATCCTAACAAGTTTCTAAATTACCATAAAGCGATTCTGCGAGAACACTAAAAATTCTAACGGATCTTAAGGTCCTAGATGTTCCGAAAATTCCAAGATTCACGGAAGGACCTACAAATACTAAGAAATGTCAAACATGACCTTCAGGGGAGTCTAAGAAGATTCCACAAGCTGGACTTTGGATTACGATAGGAAGGTGGACAGGGTTCACGCATACTTAGGCCTTAGTATAATTAGTAGCAATTATTTTAATGAGTTGCAGAAGAACCCGTCCATTTGAGCTGGGCGTTTTCTCAAAAGAATCACGCTAAAAAAAATTTGAAGTCTGATATCGATCCCATATTTTTCCGATAATTGCAGGTGGAGTATTTAATTAAAGAATTTTTAATTACCGGGCGGCCCGTGTGGCGCAGTTCAGTTAAATTTGAACTGTGGTGCTAAGGGTCCCTGGTTCGAAACCGGGTTCGGGCACGGATATTTGTAAATATATAGTAGGTTGGATTGGTAGAGCAGCCTTGGCTGAAACCCCGCCCAAAATAAAGGCAAAATAAAATTTAAAAAATAAAAAATAATGTTTGAACGCGTTCAATAACATTTGTAAGTACTGTTCGATTCCTGGTTGCCGTTTGTCCGGTTCCGTTTACCCGAGGCTACCGAGGCCGATCCGCTAGACCGTTGCTACCGCCGACCTCGACCAGGTGCAAAATTTTTCGCTTGGTGTCGCCCGAGTCCGTCATTTACTCCTTAGTTTTGAAGCTCACCGCGTGTTCGTGTTGTCGCAATGCCTAGATATTTCACTGATTGTGAAAATTGGAGGTGTTTTTGGCATAACGGGTGAGCTCCAAGGCCATTTCCCTTTTCCTTTTTTGTTAAGAGAACTAGCTCCGTTACTCCGGTATTATGTCGTCCAATCTTGGTGTACGCTGAGAACGATTAAACACCGTCCAGGGCACCCTCGTAACATTTACCATGCACTGGCAACCGAACAGTCATTCTCCCTGGGAGTGAAGGGGAAAGCCGCTGACTAGTTGCGGTATGGTTCTGTGGTGATTCCAGGAAAGTGAGCGTCTCTCAATACCTCGGCTATCTCTGTGAGGTTGTTCGTGTAGAAACCATCCTGTCATCTGAGGCTAGCTGGGTTATAATATGAACCTTTTGTTAGAATTTTATTTAAGCGGGATGCAGAGGGTGTGGATTCTATAAAGCTCTTCCATGTCTCTCTCTCTCTCACTGACGTCTCCTAATCTCCTTCTTATATTGCCTTAGGTTTACCTTATGGGCTCCCAGTCGACTCTAGCTTTACATTTCCTTTCCTTTTGAGCATTTTGCCCAACTGAGTTTTCTGGTTTTTTGAGAGCCCTGCAGCACTAGGGTCTAGTTCCCAGATGACATGCCAAATAACTCCATAATAGAGTTGGAGAGCGTAGGTCGATAGGACTCCAAAAACGTCTCCCGAGAGGGAGCTTTTTCTCCAAGGAGATGTCTGTAAAGGGTAATATCCGGTAGCTTGGGGTTGCGATAACCTTTTTGAGCGGATTTCTGGGTCACAGTCTGGCTTCAGCTAGTTATGAACTTTGGTCCTGACTGATTATCTCTAGGATTAGTATTTGTCATATATTCAAGTAATGATTCATCCCCAGGATTGACGTTGCTGCTCTCCCATCTATTCAGATCGTATAATGAAATGCTTGTTGCAATCATAGGGATTTGAATCTCATAATACAGGTAATGTACACGCCAAAAAGTGGCGGACCTCTAGGATGCAAAAATTAGGGTATACATATAGAGATATAGAATCATTACTACCTTTAAAACGTACAATAACGCATCTAATAGTTTATTTGTAAGGATATCACTATTGGTCTTTAAAAAGGTTTGTAATAACACAGTTAATAGCGGAGAAAATCTTTTCGCAATGATCGACAATATGTTTGGATTTTCCGTAGCACTTTTGAGTAATGTCCGCGTTAAATCCCACTGCGGAATCTTCAAATCTCTTTAGATCAAGAGCGCCCGTCTCCGGATCGTAGATACCCCACCGGCGCAAAATGCATTCTGTAAAGCAGTGAAACTCGTGGGTGTCGGGAAAATTCATACTAAAAATGGCTGTGAACTGTTCCTTGGAGTTCACATTAGTTTCCGCAGCGCATTCCTCACTGTAAGGAGTTACCACACCTGCCCAAGACTTCACTACATCGGGATGCACCTTGAATTTCTGAAAAAAAAAGGTTAAACCGTTGTCCACATGTAGATGGACTTACAAAGGCAGAACATGCAGAAAATAGCATAAAGGCTAAAATTGCAGTTTTCATCACGAGGTCAGTACAGTAGTTACTTAACAGAAGTAAAACAACCTTTCGCAAGGACCGTTTGTATTTATACGGTTGGATTTATCTGGATTGACAAAAATAATAATATTAAGATTTCCTGTTTCATAATCATAAGGAGGTATATACTAAATAATGCAATTGTTTATTTGTTTTGTTTTATTGAATTGTTCTTAAATTATATGCCCAAACTTTGGTTTTGGTTTTTAATACAAAAGATAACAGAGGTGTATAGATTTCACTAATTGAATTACGTTTTGTTTGTTTGTTTTCAGCATTTCTTTCCTGTTATTGTGATATCTCAGGAAATGGTATAACTTTGTCAGACATTGATCTTTTTTCAATTTTTTATACAAGTTTAATGAACTACGAGAAGGTGGAGTAGTAAAAACCGATAAATGTAACTGGTAACTATTCGTCTTACAAAACGGTCCGACGTATGGCCACAAAATGAACTGAAGCAAGACCATAATCGTACTCGTATTCAAAATTATTTAGTCAGAAATTGGTTTAACGTTTTTGAAACTTCTATTGCGGAATGCTTTTTGGTATTCTGACCACATGACTAAACTTTCGTAAGTCGAATTCACTTTAATGTTTACCTGTTTAAGTAAACAAATATTTTATCTACTCTATGGTTATCTTAGAACACTTCTCTTTCTAGAGTCTTTTTAGAACCCTATGATAGACCTTCAAAATCATGAGAATACTGAAAGCGTTCAAAAAAAGAAGATGATGCTCTATGAAGTAGGTTCATGGTTAAAAATAGCAATAACATGGTGGAAGTGAAGCCCGTCCTGTTTGCGTCCTTCTGAATTTTGTAGAGCATTGTTTTCTTAAAGTCCGGATGTCTGGAAACTAGATGTCGGTAATTCAGATCATATTCTGTCATCTTAATTAAAGGTATTTGGTTACAACTGCTAATTTGGCATGATGTCCCTTCAGCATCGTGGAAATTTGGCATATTTGAGAAATACGATGAGATTTGCCTTAACTCTTGGTTGAATCGTAGGGGGAGAATTAAGCAAACGAATTAACGATTAAAGATGTCTGAGTTAATAAGTCGCCACTTTGTAAGCGTTAATGAGTGAAAAGAAATTAAAATAGATAATTGTAGGAAGATATTTTTGAAGCATTTGTTAGCGGTCTACGGATGTATTCACCGTGTTGGTCACAATTAATTTTTATTTACATCGGTACTGAGCTGCGAAGATAGTCACCGTAGAATTTGATTTCGAGACTAAGGGCGAGACTGCAATAGCGAACGATTGCCATTGGCGAATTAATTACAGGTTTTTTTAGGGTAACGGCGGCTGAAACAACTCTAGAAATTAAGTCAATTATCTTTACTTTCTGTCTTCAACTTCTAGAACCAACGCAAATACCTTAGGGACATTAGGTAATAAAGAGCTCCAGATGCCGGGTGTCCACCAAAGTATGTAAACTTCATGGCGGAAAATAGGTGCTTCGTTACAATGTCGCTTCATATTATTATATTTTTACACAATGGTATCCAAAGCAGCATAAATTATAGTATACAGTTCATCAAAAGCTGAATTAAAATCGCAATGGTGATTTAATGGAGACCAATCAACAAAGCTAAAAGTATGGTATAAATTGCAACAGTCCACTTTATAAAAATTGTACTTTAGGTTTCATCGTTTTACAGTTTGATAGATTTGATTTGCTAGTAATTATATTACTGTCCAATTGGTCAACATTTTCTGCAATTAACGGTGCATCACTATGGGACACTTAACAGATAGAAATGTTAGTGAGAATGAGATCAAGTAATCTATTGTTAAAGTTCATAATGTAACTAATATAATTAAGCATCATTTCGGATGGATTCAAAAACCGTTTTTTTTAAATTTTCAGTTTAATTTTAAACAGCAGGCCCTCAAAATACACAAACAATTGATAAAAAGGTGATTGATAAAGAACAAATTTTAAACTAGGTAATTAGAACTTGGATGATGAGAAATTATTTAGTCATTCTCATTCATGCACATTTGTAAAAATACACAATAGAGTAGGTAAGTTGAATTAGGAAAACTAGCAATCGTATCAATTTAACGATTATTACTATTGCAAATAAAAATTAGTGTAAGTAAAATAATCCGAGTGAAGAGGGAGCGGTAGAGAAAAAAAAGAAGGAGAGATGCCATATTGCACACCTAAGCCATGTATTTTTTAAAAATGACAAATTATGGATTTCAATTACAAAGAAAAACCAAAACGTTCAAGCAACTGCATATAAATTTTTTCTTGTTGTTTCCGAAAAAATTCATATTTTGATCTCACTATAATCTAGTAAACTCTAGGATAATACGTTAATGATAAACCCGTATTCAAACAGCCGAATGCTAACAGGTATTGCTTTTACAGTGCAGTTAAAAACTTAGAAATTGGATTTCAAACGCATTCGAGTAACAAGTTAGCCTCTCTAAATAACGTTACCGATCTGTATTTTAATATCGCGCCACGTGGACGTGTTCCTGGCCGACAATCGATTGTTTCGTGGGTACACAATTTTAGGGAAACTGGTGATGTGAAGAAAAAAAAATTAAAATGAGTACGGAATGCACGTTACGTGGCTATGACTGAGCGACCGTTGGAAAAGTATGCCTCGACGGCGAACGCGCGTTCCGCCTTCGTCCACTCCATGATGGTGGCTACACCACGCGGAGGAAAAACTTTATATGCCCTTCTCTCAAATATACCTATCCCCACTTTTGTCGGAGCAACCGTCGCCTAAGGGCGCCGACACTCCTAAGTGTTTTGCAGCTTTGTGTATTCGTCCCACCTGGCTTCGGAACAATATAATTGGTCACCTCGCCCTGTTTCCTTCTTCTCCACTAAGTGAAAAGGGGAGCGCCCCAGCAAAACCTCCAGCTGTGGATGTAGTACTTATAGTTCCAGTAATACTCAAACAGGCTATTCGTTGTAGCAGGTTTATTTTAGTCCGGGCTGTTTTTACTTCCGCTTTGAACCACCAAACCACCGTAAGATAGGTCAAAATGGACCTAATTATAGTGGTGTATAGCCAGTAGGAGAACTGAGGATTTAGGCCCCCTTTCATCCCAATAAGGCTTCGTCAGCTGATTAAGGCCGTAGTGGCCCTGTTGATCGCCATGGTGATTTGAGGCTTCTAGGCTTCTAGTATTTGCATACTAGAGTGTACTCGAGCTGTCCGGGTGCGCTTTTATCGCCAGAGCGGGGCACCTTTCCTGCACTGAAGCAGATTTGTCTATCGTCTGATAGGGAGGGCTCGTCAGACACCCTCCATCTCATTATTCTGCCTGCTAGAAAGGAGGATGCAGAGGTAATATCCAGGACTGCCTTCCTACTCCTGGTTACAGATGTTGGTTCTTTTGTCTGATTGAGTATCCCTAGTTGCCCGAGTGGAGGTGATGGGAGTTGGCGTCACATCCTATAAGAAGATGCAGCCCCTTATCCGTGTAGTATCTCCTCAACTTCCGTACCTCCGGCGGCGGAGGCAATGCTTCCTCGTTGTTCCCTGGGAAGTATACCGAAGCACACACTATTTTGGCAACACCACTGCTCTTGGCGCTTCGACCACCACAGTCACCAAGTCTTTTGTTATGAACTCCGAAAGAAGGAAGGTTGTTAGTTTCGGAAACTGCTGCCCTGGGGTTGTTATTGCCCCTTACGTAGATCAGAGCCCCTGCAGAATTAGGATACCATTTGGTATGAGGGTTCTTACCCATGGTGCCTGTATTTAAGTCGGACATGAAGGTCCCACGAATATTGGGCTTTTAAACGATCACTGGCAGCTTGACTTTACCACCAGAAGGCTACTTGAAACAGGGGGGCGCCCGGTACCCAGAGTTCGTTGGCTAACGACCAAGCTCTACCTTGGCCATGTAGTCCTCGGCGCTAGCTGTTCCACCGTGACTTGGATTTGGTTCACCTTACTATGATTTGCCAATCTCAGAGTTCCGTTAGGAGTGTTGGGATTGTTACCAGGGGGCATCACTAGGAGATTGGTCGATAGCTAGTCACCAGGTATCGCCCTGGGTAGCTAAGCGCTGAAGCAAGTTTTTATTTCGCTCTCTAGGTTACTGGGAGCAGCATGCCTGCTTCTTCCAGAACATACGACGCTTTCCCCTGTCCGTTACCCCCCCCCCCTCCACAAAGTTTAAGTTAAATGAGAATTATGACGATTTTGGGAAAAATCGAGGGTAAAATTAATTTTTGCAAATAGCTTATTTTGATGTTTACCTGGCCTTTCCATACAAATTCGGCACCAAAGCCTTGTAGAAACTCTAGCACTTACACACAACGTAGTACGTGGTCCTATTATCTTTTCTTTTTTTTAGGTTAAGTAATTATGTTTAGATGGTTGTAATGTATTTATTCAATGTTTATTATGTCAATGGAATTTCTATATTTTTCAATATCTATGGTTGTCGCCTCCTGGCGGTAGACAGAGAAATGACAAGCATGTAATGGTACCACGCGAGTATTGTTTACTTCATTATTATGGAATAAATAGGTCAATAAAGTGGGAAGTGTGTTTTCAGTGCTCATTAACATTTACCAGACCTTCTAACCACAAGAACATAATAAGTGGCGACGAGAGAAGCAAGATGATATCAAATGCGGGTTAATAGGAAAGGTTAAGATTAGAAGCGCCGTACGTAAACATCACGACTACTGTAAGTACAACTTTATTATCAAATACATATAAATTGTCGAATATGGCTGACCCTACTCAACTCGATAGATTAATAACCGCAATGGTGGGCATGACAACTGCTATTCAACAACAACAGCTAGCTAATGCAAATCAGCAATCAAACGTTACATTGATATCAAATTTCGAAGCTTTCGACCCAAAACACCAAACTTTCAAAAACTATAAAGAACGATTGGAAATACATTTTCGAGTAAAAGGGGTTATCGATAATAAACCGCTGTGCGCTAATCTATTGCTGCAATATATAGGCTCAGCTAATTTCGACTTGCTTACTTCATTAGCGGCACCACAGGATCCGAAACAATTGACTTATGACGAGCTAATGGAATTATTAGAAAAACATTTTTCCCCAAAAAAGAATATTATTGTCGAGCAACACAAATTCTTGTGTGAATCACAGAGCAGTAACGATTCAATTGCTGAATATGTAGCAAAACTAAGAAAATACGTAAATGGTTGCGAATTTAATTGTGAGTGCGGCAAATCAATAGCAGACATTTTCCTGAGAGCACAATTTATACGCGGTATTAACGATACATCAATTAAAGAACAACTTTTGCAAATTAGTACGCTGACTTTTAAAGAAGCCGTGGATAAAGCAGTAGCACTGGAAGCGTCTAAACTCGATACTAAACAAATCTCGAATAATCTGGATAAATCAAGTGACATTAATCGGTTATCAAGGTACCATACAAGTAATCGAAGTAGTGAAAACGCAAATCATCGGTCTAAGAGTCGGTATCGGTCAAGAGACATTAAAAACAATCAGAGTGAATTTCGAAAACGGTCAAAATCGCGAATTAATTACAGAAGTTTAGGTATCGAAAATCTGTGCTTACGTTGCAGTCGAGATAATCATTTATCGAACACTTGTCGAATCGAAATCAATGCACTTAAATGTAAATCATGTGGGAAAGTAGGTCACGTAGAAAAAGTGTGCATCCAAACCTTATTAAAACAAAAAACATCTCAGAGGCAAAAACCATCTACAACTGCAGAAACAAACTACGTCGAGCCAGTTCTACACCATTTTGATGGAATCAATCAAATCGTCGATATTTTTGAAAAATCCAGAACGTCCAATCATGAAGCTCAAAAATACTTCACAAATGTTTATATCCAAGGAAGACGTCAAACCTTTGAAGTAGACTCAGGTGCAGGCTTCACACTTATACCAGAATCCGATTACGCTAAACTACGTCTAAAAACAGTACTAAAAAAGTCCAATACAAAGTTTCGGTCTTACACAGGAGACATCTTCACTCCAGTAGGCTCCGTTTCGGTACAAGTTGAGTATCAAGGGCGAAAATCTCAAGAGGAAATGTACGTCGTACCTTCAAGATTCCCTCCTATCCTAGGTCGCGTGTGGATACGCCATTTGCAAATCGACTTAGCTGAAATCGACAAAAGAAACTCGATGTCCAATACTTCTAATATCTTATCCATCAATATAGTACCAGCTTTATTTGAAGAATATAAAGAAATTTTCGAACCCAGAATAGGATGTATTCCAGATATTACGTGTTCCTTGAAATTACGAGAAAATGCTAAACCAGTATTTATTAAACAACGAGAAGTTCCACATGCTTTACGGGAAAAAGTAGAAAAAGAATTAGATGACCTTGAACAAAATGGTATAATTACAAAAGTAAATCTTAGCGACTGGGGTTCACCACTTGTCGTTATTCCCAAACCAGATGGTAATGTTAGGTTATGTGTCGATTACAAAATAGCCGTTAATCCTCAGCTCAAATCCGCTCATTATCCATTTAAACGCATCGATGATATTTTAAACAATCTCCGGAATTCAACCTATTTTTGCCGATTAGACCTGTATAAAGCATATCTACATGTACGAGTTGATGAAGACAGTCGAGCAGTACAAACGATTTCAACACATCGAGGTACTTATCAAATGAACAGATTATCATTTGGCATAAAAACAGCTCCAAGTGAATTTAACCGAATATTGGACCAAATTCTTCAAGGCTTAGAGGGAACAATGTCATACTTTGACGACATCATAATCCATGGAACATCACATGAAGAATGCCAGAATCGACTTAGACACTGCCTAGAGCGTTTAAGAAAATATGATCTACACCTCAACAAAGACAAATGTACTTTCTTTCAAACCGAAATTCAGTATCTAGGGTATATCATTCGTCAGAACAAGATTTCTAAATGTCCAAAAAAGGTAGAAGCGATCAACAGTGTTCCACGTCCTCGAAATGCAGATGAAGTACGTAGATTTTTGGGAATGGTTACATACTATTCTCGTTTCATACCAGATGCATCAACCATGACACATCCACTTAGACAATTACTGCGTAAGGACAAACAATTTTTTTGGTCGTCATCATGCGAATCAGCTTTTATCAAACTGAAAACCGAAATATCAAGTGAACGGGTACTGGTTCCCTTCGATCCCAATTTACCAATTACACTTGCGTGTGATGCAAGCCCAACAGGCATTGCGGGAGTATTATCAAACATTATCGACGGAGTTGAACGACCTGTAGCGTTTATATCCAGATCACTGACACAAGCCGAAACAAATTATAGTCAGCTTGATCGCGAAGCTCTTGCCATCGTGTTTACAGTGGGCAAATTCTACAATTATATTTATGGTCAACCATTTACCCTAATCACGGATAATCGTCCATTAACAAGAATCTTTCATCAGAATGCAAAACTGCCAGCGATGACATCAGCTCGTTTACTTCGTTATGCTGCCTTTCTACAACAGTTCAATTATGAAGTCCAACATCGGAAAGCCGAAGATCACGTCAATGTTGACTTCTTTTCAAGAGCACCTTCTAATGAAAAATCAATTGGAATAGAAACAACATTAGACCAAGAGTTACAGAACTTAAATGACCAGGTGATAAATCAAATTTCAACTTATTCTCTCACAAGTACATCAATCGCATTCGAATCTCAGCAAGATCCAGAACTGTCAAAAATAAAGGAAAGCCTTATACATGGAAATCTCAATAATCCAGACTACAGTCTTCACGATGGAGTTATATTCAAAGGCCAACGTGTAGTAATACCAACGAGCCTTCGTGCAGAAGTTTTAAAGGAGTTGCACCATACACATGTCGGTATCGTCAAAATGAAGCAGTTAGCCCGGAGGTATTGTTATTGGCGAAATATCGACAAGGATATCGAAAATCTTGTTCGACAATGCGAAAATTGCGCCCTCATCAAAAAAGATCCTGTAAAAGCTCCAGTACACCACTGGGATGAGCCCAAGGAAAACTTCGAACAAGTCCACATCGACTATGCAGGACCCTTCCAGGGATTCTATTTCCTCGTACTCGTTGATTCAAAATCCAAATGGGCAGAAGTCAAAGTAATAAAAGAAGCACCAACTTCAGAATCGACAATATACCTTTTGCAAGACATTTTTAGTGTACATGGATTGCCAAGAAATTTGGTATCAGACAACGCCACAATTTTCCATAGTGATACATTTCAAACATTTTGTAGAGAAAATGGAATCATGCAAAAGTTTATTGCACCAGGGCACCCTGCCACAAATGGTCTCGCTGAAAGGAATATTCAAACCCTTAAGCAGAAACTTACAGCCATGGCAGACGAAAAGCTCTCGATGAACCAGAAAGTGCGTGAGATATTGTACCGATATCGAGGCACACCATTGAATTGCGGTAAAACACCAGCTCAACTTTATCTTGGAAGAGACATTCGACTTAAGCTAGATGCACTACGTCCATCAAAAGAACCTGCCAGTAAACCAGCTGACCTTCCCCGAGTTCGAAACTTCAGCGTGGGAGAGAGAGTCCAAGTTCGTTGGTACACTAACCAGAAGCCTACATGGAAATTTGGAGTAGTTCTAAAGAAGTATGGTCGTCTACACTATCAAATCAGACTAGACAATGGCTATATTTTTAAACGACACATAAACCAACTCATCAAATCTAGTGTGCAACCGAAGAAGAAGGTCACATTCCAGGACAACATCGAAGACCAACCCAAGCCAATGGAATTAGAAGAAATTATTATCAGACCCGACAATTATGCTGCAGTTCCAGACCAAGGAAATGTTCCTGTGATGGCTCCCCCAGCCGAAGCTGTTCCTCAAGCGGCTCCGCCAGCTGTTCAAATTCGAAGGTCACAAAGACAGCGCCAGGTTCCGAGACATTTTCAAGATTACGTTCGAGACTGATCATTTTCGAAATATTTCATATTGTATTATTTTTCATATTTCAGTAATCGTTATGTTTTTATTTAGCGTGGGAGACTATAATGTATTTATTCAATGTTTATTATGTCAATGGAATGTCTATATTTTTCAATATCTATGGTTGTCGCCTCCTGGCGGTAGACAGAGAAATGACAAGCATGTAATGGTACCACGCGAGTATTGTTTACTTCATTATTATGGAATAAATAGGTCAATAAAGTGGGAAGTGTGTTTTCAGTGCTCATTAACATTTACCAGACCTTCTAACCACAAGAACATAATAATGGTCTTGGGGTTCATGAGGTTTGGTCGGAAAGTTTTGTTTTTAAATTTTCAGTTGCGCTGTCGTTTGTGACTGCCTTGAAATGTTACAATAAGGAATATTTTGTTCTCCCAGCTGTTGCTGATACTTACATAATGCTTCAAAGTCAAATCTCGCCGAAATAAGTAGAAGGTTAGACACGGTTAGATTTTATTAACCTCAAGTAAGAACCTTTAACTCTGCCCGGATTTATAATTACGCAGACACCAAATGGGTACTTGACAGGATAAATAAGAAGTTGAACATCTTATATCCAATAGTATCATCAATGCCTTTTATTTTCATATTAACAACAATCCTGAAGCGATTGCTAAAGACAAACTTACACTTCTTTGTCCTAATCCTTTTATTCATTCGCAGATGGGACTGTCCGTTCATAAGAGCTTTTACAATTTACAGGTTAGGTACTTTAGGAAACTCAAAATTTATGGAATCATTATATCATGTAACAACGCATCTAATGCTTATTTGTAAGGATATTACTATTGGCCTTTAAAAAGGTTCACAACACCACAGGTAATAGTGGAGAAAACCTTCTCGCAGTGATCAACAATGTGTTTGTATTTTCCAAAGCATTCTTGGGGAATGTCCGCGTTAAATCCTAGTAGGACATTTTCAACTCTCTTTAGGTCAAGCGTATACTTTGTTTCAAGGGTGCTGAACCTTTCGTCACACTATCTGACGTCATAGCAAAATTAAGGCAGGTCGTAAATTAGTAGTTGGTTTACATATTGTCACATTGACGTTTCAACTTATTTATTAAGGTGTCACTATCGTTCATCATGATTAGACCGCCCAAGTTGACAATCACTTATAAGGCATCTGGTCCTGATAGGTTTTTTCCTGTTCTTAGGTTTTATAATGGGTAAATGGTCATGTATTTTATGTAGAGGAAGTCCGTTGGTATGAATTAAACCTTTTCCACCGTTTGTAATCACCTCACGTACCCGATTCTTTGCACCGACAATCGAAATGGATACTGCCAGAGCATCCGAAACTCTTTGAGATGAAGTGTATGATGGTTACAGAAAACGCATAGGAACATTTGTAACTTAAAGTTTGTTTAGGCAGTTCGTAAATTAATATTTTGTTTACATAATGTTGATGTGAAATTAAGTATGCTACCAATGTGAAGAATACGCGTTAAGTTGCGCGTATTTTAATGACCCTTAACTAGCCATTTGCAGAAGTAGAATAGGCCATGGTTTATCGGTAAGCCTTTCGCATTTATACATCTTACAAATTTGAGATAAAGCGTAGTCATTGGCCCGTATGAATAAAAGTAAGCAAATGCTTATACTTGAAAAATTCAAAGTAAATACTCGTAAGTGCTCCTTCGCACTGGGCGACTTAGCAGCGCTGCTAAGCAGAAGGACAGGACGCAGTGCAGCGCTGCTAAACAAACCAGTATAAAGGGGCACTTACGAGTATTTGCTTTGAATTTTGCAAGTATAAGCAGTTGCTTATTTTTATTCATACGGGCCATTATACCACTGGCTCATTGAAATAACAACGCATACATACAGTTTCTGTTCTTTTGCCACACAGTCGAGATATTCGCATAAGGATCTTGAATATCTTCTGATCCGATTTATTTAAAAAAAAACGCAATTGTGAGAGAAAACAGGTAGTGATGATATTCAAATCGTATGTACAAAAGAAAAAACGACACTACACCACAAATCCATCTTCTGATCCTGCATGGAGTAGTAGGTATATTACCGGACCCCTTCACTCACTTCTTTTTCTAACTGTTTTGAGAGTACCATCTTGCCAGCTTCTTCTAAAAGACCCTTTACTGTATATCCAGGTTTTGTCTAAAACCACAGGTCGTAATGGAAAGAGTGAAGTTTCGTTGTGTTTAAAGTCTCTCAAAAATTGTAGTCTTCTTTGAACTGCATAGGACTGTTCCATTAAAAATAATCTATTGGAGACGGTGCATCTCCGCCACGTGAATTTCAGTTTCTTCAAACTGCGGGACAAAGAGGTACCAGATATTTCTACGCCATCAAGTCGTTGAAGATTACTGGTGTAAGGAACGGAGTGTAACATTCTCACCTATAAAATCAATTCAATACCTAAGTGTTCTAGCGAACCTCTTCATTCTGTGTATCGGTTCGTCATATTTACCTAATGGTAACGGGAATGACCTAAATTCATGATATGAGCGAATCGAACCATTATGTAAAATTTTTAAAATACTTGTCTATTAACGGCGTTGCTGCACTGTCGACTTGCCTAAGCGTTTTTAACTTTGATGATATTTACTTCACTTTTAACACAAACTACCTAATCAACACTGGAAATCTGTCTATAACGAAAATCATTTGACGGATTCATATTATGACAGATCAATTGGTTTATTTGTCACGACTTACGTTAATGACGTAATTTTTTTGTCTCAATCGATTTAAATGTAATGAAGAGAGAATCACATTTATGATGTCAGGTTCAGTACCAGTGAAAGAAAGTATATTATCCTCGCCATTAGAGATTGCCGGTACGTCATAAGTAAATGATATAACGCTCCCAATTTTCCACTGCTACTGGAATCGGGGTGGGAAAATTGAGAGTTCACAAGTGCTGGTTCGGGTAGCTCAATTCGCAGCAGGGTTCGGTAGTAAAACCAGGTGAAAGCGGAGATCGCTTAATACATATATTGTTTCCAATAATAAAACAAAATAAAATTAAAATAATGTACACAAAAGCACGCCTCTGTGGACTGCCTCCGCACGTCACTGGCTCGGATTGAAGTGGAACGGTCAGTGCGACACTTCCAGTGGATGCTGGATACGGTGTGTTTCCTCTTAGGTTTGTTATATTCCTTTAACAATCGGAAGTATAATTAACACGAATAAATTCAGAGTAATTAAGTGATTGTTTAAACAATAGGTGAGTGACCTTGTTGATTATTATTTAATGTAATACTATGGGGGAATTCTACCTAGACAGAATTCCAAAAAAAAATGAAACGGGTTCTAAACAAAATTGACTGGACGTAATAAAATGAAAAGGGTTCTTTAATTAACTCAACAAAAGTATCTGGATGTGGATTATTACTAAACAGGATGGTTTTCAGGACTTAGGTACAAAGTACCGCCCTAAGTTACCAAGAGTTCGGGAAAGGTTTAGAATAACAGGTGTGAAAGTTGACCAGGTACACAGTACCAGCCGTGAACTTCTGGAAGTAGCTATCGGGAGTTAGACCGTAGGTGCAAAGCACCGGCCTAAGCTTCTGGATCAGGTAAGAGATAACAGGGTTCGAAATTTAGGCCTTTGGTACAAAGCACCGGCCTAAGCTTCAGGGAGAGCAGGAGATCTGGAGGGTGGTTCTGGTAGAAGGTTTTGAGCTATAGGAAGGTGATCTCAATTAGCTCGCTCACAGACGGGACACTCGCTTTTATATTCAACGGCCGGTTACGTTTGGGGGAATATTTGGAAATGGTAATCGGGAAGGGATTAACGGGAAGTGGTATTTGATATGATCGGAACATAGATATATAAATACATAGATACAGCCATACCCCAACATAGTTCAAAAGGACGTACCATCTATTACCATCACTTTCGGCACATTAATTACGTATAGCGCTATCCTTTATAGAGGTACCCTGAGCATGGAAGGCAAGATTCGCATTATTTATTATAACTGTCAATCAAATTGTTAGCACAAATCACACAGAAAATTATCAGATTTGAGACTTTACAACATAAATAAACCGCCTTTTTATTTATTTAAATCGCATAGTAGCAAGAAATGTTACATTTAAAATGGAAGATGTTACTTAGAAAGCTGGAAAATGAAGAATTTGAAAAAATTACAGCTGACAAATGGAAGAAAGTGTGTGAACATGTGGAAAGTGATTAATTTAAAAGAGATGTTATATTGGTTGATGTTTCTGAACTTTATAATAAGTGTTAATAATGACAGTGATGATTCGGATTTGTCAATTTCATCTGACGATGATTCGGATTGTGAACTTTATAAATGTAATGAATGTTCACTAAATGAGTATTATCACCAATTGGATATCATTGCTAAGATGTTGTATTTATTTTAAATAAATGTACACGTGTAGCTTACTTACTACAATTAGCACTATAATTTCAAAAAGAAACCCCACCGATTGGACATATGCCGAAAGGTAGGCCAGACGCGTAGCGACCAAAATTTGATATTGCACGCACACACAGTCTATAAATCTCGTTTTCCTAAGAATATTGCACGGATCCTTCTTTGTGATCATGATACAAACGCACTGCATCAACATCATATAGGCCAAAATGATAATTGGAAACGAATTCACTTCCTGTCGCAAATTAATCTCTGTTACCATTGCGCCTAAAACCACGCAATTAAAATTAAAATGTTGAACATAAACTTTACTTACTTACGGTTTTTTTAATATTCTGCAAGCCAGCAATGAATTCCCTGCAGCACATCATGCCAAACAAGGTAAACATAGTCCCAAATTTGAATGGCGTAGCTCTATGTAATAAAACTATTTCAGGAATAACAATTATGGAGGCGTCTATCATTATAGCAAGCACTAATGTTATTCGTATTCCATTGATAACGCAATAATTACATATATTTAGTGAAAAAACCACCCATCATGTTTAGGGCGAATAACTTTAGTTAGATGTCACATGACTTATGAGACGCGCTAAGTTTGTTTTAAGCGTCCGATTCGCGTACGACATAGTGGTTAATGCAATAAAAAGAGATAGAACATGTTTCTTCTTAGTTAGAAAGTAATGGAGAGATGTACAAATTTCTTTGATATGTTTTT